GTCGAACGATCGGGAGGGTGGTAAATGTGCATGGCGGTTACCTCTAGGAATCTCGAACCACTTAGACGACCTTGTAGAAATCTCGGATATGGTGCGTGAAGCCGATGCCAAACAATGCCTATATAAAGGCACCAACCCCAAGGGCAAGGGGGGCGAGCAAGTAAGCAAGTAGGCATATCCTAGCTCTCATACTTTATGATTTTTTAGCTCGCAGTCTACTATTAGAGTACTGACTTAAGCATCGGAGCGACCTCGCCGAGTTAGCCACCCCGAGTCCTCTGACATTTGGTTCCTTGCAGGTCTCTAAAGAGCAAGGAAGCTCGTCAATCCAGCTCGCCACTAGGCAGCTCAGCACTAGATAGCTCGCCACCAGGCAGCTCGGCACTAGACAGCTCGCCACCAGGCAGCTCGGCACCATGCAGCTCGCCACTAGGCAACTCACCACCAAGCAGCTCATCAAGGTAGTTCGCCACCAGGCAGCTCGCCACCAAGCAACTCAGCACTAGGCAGCTTGCCCCTAGGCAGCTCGCCCCTAGGCAGCTCGCCCCTAGGCAGCTCACCACCATGCAGCTCATCAAGGTAGTTCGCCACCAGGTAGTTCACCACCAGGGAGCTCACCACCAGGTAGTTCACCACCAGGGAGCTCACCACCAGGCAGTTCGCCACTAGGTAGCTCACCACCAGACAGCTCGCCACTAGGGAGCTCCACTTCAGTCTCTAAGTCACAGGCCACTTGGGAGCAGACGTCACTAACGAGGTACTTAGCACAAAAAATTGATACATCACAAAAAAAATGATATGTGACCAAGAAATGGTTACATCAGTACTCTAAATGATAGTAGGCATGTGCCAGTTGATAGGGCAAAGTCTTATGTAATATGGTTCCGCATGTGATCTGTTGGTGTGTATGGAAGGTAAATATTTGCAGGGAGGTTGAAAGGGTGATAGTAAAATGGGCCTCCATCAACAGATTATTCTTGGCGTACAAGTTCAGCCACTTTTACAATCATTGGAGCAGCATATTATGGCATGATAATTTTGTGTTGAAATGTTTTGTTTGTACTCTAATGGGCCTAGTGTTGTTGGTGTATTCCTGGCTTGGAGAGAACCTCTCCCACTACAGCCTTTTTCTCATCCTTGATGAAATTTATCTTTCATCATTTAAACAAAAAAAATGCCAGCTGGTAACCACCCAACCAGACCAAAACCAGGCTGGTTTTGAACACAGACTGCAAACTTGGATCAATTCTTTAGCTGGAATGCTGGATAGTGTCAAGCATTTCATATTCACATAGGTTTCGTGACTTTTTATGGCATCACTAGGGGGGGAGAAGGGAAAAAAGAAAGATGCTTATGACCTTAAGCCTATCAAGGTGAATTATTGGTTGAGTGAACGTATGAAAATGATAAAGACAAGCATTAGAGCTAGAGCTTCGTTTTAACCAGTGTTTTAAAAGCGCAAGGCGCAGGGGCCAATTTGCACCTAAGGCGCAAGGCGAGGCGCATGCCTTTTTGAAGCAAGGCACAAAAAAAAAGCTAAAAAGTGTAAAAAAATAAAATATATATATATATTAAACATAATATTAATAAAAATATAAACTTAAATTTTAAAAATAAATGTTTTAAAAAACATATTATCTAAAATTAAAATACATAAACATAACATGTAAAGCGTATTCAAATGAGAATTTAAAAATAAAATCAAACATATAAAACACTTTCCTCAATTGCATTATTTCAAATAGCTAATGTGATGTAAAACATATTATATTCCTAATTCTATGAGCCGCCTTTGTGTCACGCCCCTCGAGGCAATCCCAAACAAGTCAATGTTAGGGTCTTAAATTCCTAATTTTCACGCAAAAATTCATCTTAATAAAATATCTTCTTAAAAGGCAATTAAAATTATAAAAGTATTATTTTTTGTTTGAAAATTAAGAATTTAAGACCCTAACATGGGCATGTTTGGGCTTGTCTCGAGGGGCATGGTCAGGGGTTTCTAGGTTCAAAATAGCAAAAAAGCGTCCAATTTTTTTTTCAAAAGGCACACACCTAGGCTGAGGTGCAAGGTGCATCAAGCACACCAAGCGTGCGCCTTTTGAAAGTGCTGCACCTAGGACCTAGGTGAGGCGCATACCCTAAAATGTGCCTCGCCAGGTGCGCCTTTTAAATCACTGGTTTTAACAAGGAAAAAGGGGCTTGCAACTGTATAATCCCCCCCCAAATTACACACCCTGTCAGTTAGACTTGAACCATTGAAAACCTTTCTTTATGAGAATAAATATTTAATTGTCTTAATTATACCAAATAATAGATTAACAATTTTTTTGGTCTGAGATATTAAGATAATTAAGCAATGTGATATTCAATTACATAATTAAATTTCAAATTAAACTAGAATTTTTCAATATAAATTAATAAGTTCATTTGGGAGGGGGGGTGGATACTCATTTGAATTGCATGGATTTGGAATAGCAATGACATGCTTTCCACTTCTGCACACTGATCCATACACAGCAAACTATTGAAATTGAGTCCACAGTCCATCAACCATTCTTTCCATCTAAATAGGCCAAATCTCATCAAAGCATCTATTGAATCCAATTCAGCATTAAATCTATAGCCATCAACAAGTCAGCTTGTTGGCATAAAATAATATGGTTGGTACTTGCTGCGTACAATAGATCTTCAATTACCCATCCTAGCTACTAAAGCCATAACTGAGACACAACTTGCACTGTTATATATCCAAAGAGGGGGAACCTCCAAGATTACAAAGATCATGGTTAGAATGGTGGAACCATGTAGAAAATATACATGTATGTCCCTTTATACATAAAAAGCTGAGGTAAAATCAAAACATCCCACTGATTCCAGAAATCGTCAAAGGAGAAGTCCTCAAACTCCTTCAAAATCAAATTCCACTGACCATAGAAAATGTTATTTGTGCACTTTAAGTGGGTTGTAGTTGAAAATTATTTTCTTTGTTTTGAATTTATAGTGTATATTCATTATTGAGTGTTTTAATAACAAGGTGCCTCAAGAGTGGGGAATGGACTCCAGGGGATGGAAGCTGCAAACTAAATTTTGATGGGTGCTGTATTGGAAATCCTAGGAACTATGGACTGGGAGGAGTAGTTAGGGATTCTGGTGGCAATGTAATTCTCAGTTATTCAGGGATAGCTGGGTTTGGAAACTCTCTAAGGGCAGAATTGTTGACTTTAATTCAAGGCCTTAAACTGATAGGCCAGCAGGGGTTATTGAATATAGCGGTTGAGGGGACTGTCAAACAGTCATTTTGTAGATGACTTTTCAGGAACAAATACCTTGGCAGTTTAGACTGTTGGTAAGAATGTAAGATTGGGTCACTCTTAGTCCTTAGGTGTCAGCTTGAACATCTGATTCATCTGGATACCCACGAGTGCAAATATGCTAGCTGATTCCCTGGCAAGATTGGGGGTAGGAAAAGAGAGTTTGGATTTGGGTTTCCCAGGCCTGGGCTGTAATTTGTAAGAGATTCTTTTATTCTGTTGTTTTTGTGCTTTCTTTGGCCTGTACTGAGGATCTGTTGTAAGTTTGCTCACCTGCTTTGGTTCTGAGCAGTGTGATTTCTCTTATTTAATGAAACTCACCCTGTTGCTTATCAAAAAAAAAGTGTAGTATATATTCATGCAAAACGCATAGGAGGACATGCAAAATGGCCAATATACAACCAGAAGCGCTATACATCAAGAACTCAAAAAGAACCCCAAAAAAGTGTTGCCAAGTTTATCTGTACTGCATACATAATGAATTAACGCTGAAGAAATCAGAACCGGACTCATCCCTGAATTCCTTGCAAGTACTAAGATATGATCCATTTGTTCCAGTAGCTTTTTTCAGCATTGCATCAACGAATGTAGTTTTTTTCTCAAAAACACGGATATTCATTCTTTCCATATCAGCCAAATCACCACAAAGAAACTATTCTCCACGAGGCATTACCCTGCTTACTTGATCCTTCAGCATGCCTGCTAAAGAAAACTCTCTGATGGAGGAAGGGAAGCACCATTTTACTCCAATGACGTCCAAGAAGTGTACCATATGATAGAACAAACTAAATAGATGAACTACAGTAGGAGTTTCCATGTTTTGTAACAGTTTATCTTTTTTTTTGACTAGTAATGTTTTATATCTATTGCCCCTGCAGTTTTCTAAATCAAACCTCCGTAGTTATCGACATGATGAAATGAGAATAGAACTTTACTCGTTCCATTTCCTCTTCCTCATAAGAAATTGAAGAGAAACTTTTATAAGAAAAATGTCTTAAATTAGACCTATATTATAATAAGAAAATATAATTGCTTTGCGCCATAAAAGGACTGGATACCAAAAGATATTTCTGTTAAATTTAACTTAATGAGTATCACTACAACTACTAAAAACATTTAATGGAGACGAATCAAGTAGAATTCCAAAAATTTCTCCGTTAATCCAGAAGAAAGGAAAAATACTCCTCAATATGATAAAAGACAAACCGGTTATATCGAAATAGTACCTGATCACGGCTGTCATCATCGTCTCTATCCACAATTGACGACGCTACCGATGCACCAGCTGATCGAACTGTCGAAGCAACACTTGACGCGCCCGAAGAGATTATCCTCAGGTAACTCGAGATCGCTCGAAAAGAACTTGGTATGAACCCATTACTCCGTCCCTGTCTGGGAACTACTCCCTGAGGTTTCTGGTCATCATTCCTCATCCCCAAATCCCAAAGAAGAAAAGAAAAAAGAAGAAATTAAAAAATAAAAACTTAATTCACCGAACTGTGGCCTAATCATAACAGCAGGCTGTTTCTTTAATTTCAGCCTTCGGAAGAAACAGCCTCCAAATTTCCAGTTTCAAGTCATAAGTCTATCCATCTCCTTTTCGCTTCGAATGATTCAAAAGTCAAAAACTTGCTAAAATCCGAATCAAAACAAGACCTTTTCGGTTTCCGTGGCCTTCCTTGTAAAATTTAACAATCTCTAAGAGAAAATTTCTCTCGGAAACCTAAAAAGCTGATAAAAAACGGCAGCTTTTCAACTTTTCATGTTTATATCAATAGAAAGAATTACTCGTCCTTGTGGATCCTCTCCTGAAATTTTACAAAAAGAATTTAAAAAATAAAAAATAAAAAGAATACGATAACGAATTGTTCAGTTAAAACCATAAGTCCGTTATCAATTCGAAACTGTATTAGAGAAGATAATTAGGACAGTACAACACAAGAACCGCCGCAAATAGCCGGAAAACGGTTTTAAGCCGCCGGAAAACCGGAACAGATCTAAGAACACCGGGTTTTCAGGAGATTGAATAAGGAACTAAGAAGAGAGAGAGAGAGGGATGCATCGATCCCTAGCTATCGGATAATGAAATGATGACTCCCCGCAACTCCGTTTACGTCTCTCTCTATCTTCGCCACTTTCTCTCTCTTCTTTTTTTTTTTTAATTTTCATGTTTCTTGTCTACATAGAAGAAGAAAACATCCACAGACGTCTTGCTGCTGTTCGGTTCAAGGTGCCAAAGAGTTCACACGGACAAGGTCGACTTTTAATAACAGGCCGTCAGATTCAAAATAGACCCACTATCAGCCCCAGCTGTAGCTAAGGACCACAACTTCTTGGTGCATTTTTGAGCATTATAACATTTCTCAAGGACCGTGCTGTAAGATTACAGACGTGAACGGAATCCGAGGAGTGTGCGTTAAGGGTTTCCTCTCGGGCACGTTTTTTATAAAGCAAAATATCAACATACCCCGAGATTTTGAAAGTTTGATTTTGGTAATCTTCCTTTTCTTGTAAGGTAGGTTTATATTTGCCTAAGTTTAGAAAGAGTATAAATTTTGTATTTATACCCTTTTCTTGTGAAAGATGAAGGGTAGGCTAGTTTCATGCAGAGTAGTAGCGCTTCCGATTTATTTTATATTTTAACCATGGTTTTGTGGGAAAGTTAAAATGGTAGAGAACTATGGGATGATTGGATTACTTTTTATATCACGCTACAAATTAGGACTAAACAAGAATTCCACAATTGTTAAAGGAGACTTTTTTTTTTTTTTTGAAAAATTGTTACAGACATGTTCATGGGCCGGGTGGCCTGACACTCGGGCGGGTTTGAACACGCAAATGAGCACGCGAGTTTTACCTCTGGCTAAAAAGTTCAGCCTGCAATAAATTCGAGTCAGGCTCGGGATTTGCCAAAATAACCCGACCTGGCTCAACCTATAGACTAAACTCAAAAACCCTAATATCCTAACCCTTCTCATTCATCTCTTTCCACATTTCCTATTAGTCAAAATGTCCAGTGTCGAGCCTCTCTTCTCTTCACATCCTCCTCACACTCTCAAGCAGCCGCAGAATCGGCGAACATTCACCGGCGCAACAACTTCGGCAAACCGGCGGTGAGTCCTCTCTCTCTCTCTCTTTGACGCGAACTCAGCACCGGCGAACACAGTACCGGCGGTAAGTTCTTTCTTCTGTTAGGTCGGGCTTTGGGCTCGGGCTCGGGCCTAACAAAATCATGTTTATGAAGAGTAAAAGCTCGGCCCGGCCCGGCCCATGAACATGTCTACTTGAGAGTAGTTTAAGCTTATGTTTAGGATGAGTATTTATTTTAGAGTTATTTATTAGAACACCTCTATATTTACTTAAACCTATCCAATAGTTTTTTTATTTTATTAAAACATTTCTTATACTTTGTAATCTATTTACTTAATTGACATTTTTATTAAGGAGTGTTTGTTTTGTTATTGAAGGTATAATTGTTTATTCCAAAAATACCCTTAACACTTTTTTATGTAGAAAACAAAATTAACCAAATAGATCCAATAGAATAGTCACTTGTGTCTTATTAGAGAACATGGTATTTTCATTTCTATTTATTTTTTTATTAGATTTATTCAAATGGACTTTAGGAACAAAACTGTCATTTTCCTCTGTCATCTAATAGAATATCGATTAATTAAATCCATTACAAATTATATAGGGTGTTTTAGTAAATAACCCTTATAAATGCTTATAAGTGTTTTGACATCGGGGTAATTTAGGTATGGGTACATTTAAGCTATACCAAATAAACACTTAGAAAATAATTTCAAAATGGATTTATTCGGCTTTTTTATCAAACCTACATAAGTACTTATTTTATTGGTGTGGTCCAACTTAAAATAAGTACTTATTTAAATAAATGCTTAAAATTAAGTACTCCCAAGTCCCAATGGGGGTAAATAAAAAACATTGGCGTTGCTACAGTACAAACAAATCAAGTGAGTTGCCTTTCCTTCCTTCTGAGATTTTGTGTTTCGCCAATTAGGATGAATTTGAGGCGCATTGATTTGGCTGGTTTTCTGTTGATTCTAAGAGCCCTTTGGACGATCCAACATGGCTATAGGAGCCCCTGTTTAACAGCTTCCACACTTTGGGAAGTCCGTTCATGCTTTTGTCTTGGAGTTGAAGTTTTGCACAGAAAATCTAGCTTAATCCAATTCTCAAAATCTTAAGATTAGCTAGTGAAAACTGAATACAAATTCTGGGTTAAGAGCAGAGTGTTTTCTTTTCAGTTTTTACGAATCACAGAAATGTGAAAGCTTCACGGAACAATCAAAACATCTGTCAATATATCATCTCAAGAAAACTTGAGATGAGAGAGAGAAGATGCTTCAAGGATACGAGTCGGCGCCATCTCGGCTTGATTGGCGTTTTCCATTTACATCGTTTTCAGCTCGAGTACCTATCTAACTATCTTCAGTTTTTAGCATTAAAATGAGATAATTTATTGAGAGCTAAATAACTCTGAAAGCAACCCATCTTATCCCCCATACTTAAAAGCTCCAATATTTGGATTAATTTAAGCCAAAGCCCAGAGGTTGAGAGGGATGATTAGCTTTTCACGCACAAGATGCGCATCGAGCAGAGCCATACGAATGGTAGACCAGTGGCTTCATCTGAGTCGTGTCAAATCCATGGTTCCCAGTGGACGAAGCCAGCAAATTTTAATTGGATTTGGCTGAACGATTGTACAACTATTTGATGCTGTTTAATGGATCTTGTCTGAAGAAAAAGGGAGAAGAACTAAAGAGAGTTTGATTTAATTTGGGCATTGCTTTCTCTACTTTCCATCATTGAATTGAAATCCATTTAGCATCCGTACATGACCCGTACGAGCATGTTATGAACACTAGTGATTTAGAAATCTGCAGAATTCAGTCTTGGCTCTTACTTAACATTGGATTGGAAAGCAAAGCCCTCCACACCAATTAATCCAACACGTACTGATTGAACTTGAACCTCGTTCTCTTTGAATAATTTACGCTTGTACTGATCCAATTCCTCTAACCTGATGCTCACTAATCTGGAGTCTGGACCCATACCAAAAATAAAAAAGATAGAGAGAATAAGGTTAGCTTGGTGAGTGGGGTTATATAAATTAGAAAAGAAAAAAGAATAATACTTAAAATTCTATTTCTATCTACTCTATTAAATAAAAAGCCAAGATACAATGCGGTGACTTCCACTTCAATGACCATGTGTTGCATGCACAGAGAAGTGGGGTCCTATCTGATGCTGGGTCCTCGTCTTCTTAACCTAAACACGTGGCATCTTATGAGACCATCTTATTGCTGTTATGATAAGAGCGCCCTCGTTGTAGCGTCTCTCTCAAATGGGATCCGACCTACACCATCTAATATTCGTGGGACGGCCCATCATCTCAATCAGTGAGGCCTCTAGCAGAATGTTTGATTTTCCTTGCGTTGATTAATCAAACGGGCGATAAGACTCAAGACAGTTTAGCTTCTTGAATTTCTATCTATGTCTGCACTGCTCAACTTATTTATCCACAAAAAAATTAAAATAAAATATTATATTTCTATCATGAATCAAGTTTTTAATGTTATGAGAGTAAGGTTTGTGAAACCAATAATAAGGTTTTATGTCATGGGACCTGCATCTTTTATAGCGGGGCCTTTGAATTTATTATTGATTAAAATCTCATAATTAATTCCACAGCCTGCTGAACAGCTAAAGGGTTCAGTTAATCCAAATTCTCTTGTGGGTCATTGGTTGGATCATCCAGATCAATGGATATCAATAATCATGATTTATAACATCCTCAGGTTGACCCAAACCAGAAAAATAAAATGCTAGTAATAATAAATCCATTAAAGTTATGTTTGGTTTGATGGAAAAATAAAAGATAACAGACAGTTGAGGGATTTCTACCAAACCAAACATGGCCTAAAAGTTTGTGAAGTCTAATCAGAATATGATAGATCAACCAAAGTTGTTTTTTTGACAAATAGACTTGTTCAAGGAGAGCCCATTGTTTATATGACGCCATCATGGGCTCATTTGATCTTTTATGGGCTGGGGCTTTTGGATGGTGACCTGCTTGACGTTTTTGAGAATGCTAAGATGTTTTAACCGAAACCCAACGTGCATGGCCGGGGTCGGTCTAATATGAACCCAGCCTCGGGGAATCACCAACCACGTACTGTTTGTTAATTGTATATATCTCGGGGGAGCCCACAGTGTGCAAGATCCTGCTCACAACTCATATATGACTGACACGTGTATGAAGGAAATCAGAAATTAAAAATCCTTCCGGGACATAGCAACAACAAATTAAGTTATTAACAAGTCAAAAGAGAGCAACTTTTTGGGTGGGGACCTCAGGATCGTGATCAGGAACAGGCCAAAGAAAACTGAACCGAGCCGAGTTGAGCCGAGCAAGTGAAATATGTTCTCTGCCAACCGAGGTACTGGCGCGCTGATAGTGTTAAGGGCTCGTTTGCGAGGGTTTCTGCATTGAATACGAAGCTAATCTGATATGGTTTCATAAAAAAATCGATTTTGTGTCTTCTGTGAATCTATTTTCAACTTTCCGCGTTTTTACCAAATATGACTTTATGGTTTTCTAGGTTCCTCGGTTCATATAATGCTAAAAGCCATTTCATGAAAGCCCTCCCAAACGAGTACCAAGGGCAAGAGCATCCAAATCAGTGGACAAACTAGCTAGATATGGAACTGAGCAGTGGATGTGTGTCTAATAGTAAGCCTACCACTTGTAACAATTAGAATGGCTGGTGAAAAGGCCACACGAGAGTCCCTTTCTGGAGCATTTTTGTCTCCAACATTTTGTTTTCTTTCCTCTTGTTTGTTTATAGATCTTTGCTTTCTTATGCTTTTTTTCAAGCTTTATTGTTTTCTTGTTCCATGTTTGGGAAATATTTTTGGAGCATTTTCTCTTTCCTAGAACCATTTTGCTTAGTTGCTACCGGACCAAAATTCGAGAGAAACGGGGCACCCCTTTGATAAATTTTAATCTCAAATTCTCAATGAAAATATGGGTGAAGAGGAGTTATTCTTATTCTTATTGTTCTTATCATGACTGGTTTAGAAAATGAGGGTGAAAACAACTAGATATTGTAATTGATTATGCGCGATCTAGTGCTCTCTG